CTTTTGTTGCACTCTAACAGCTGTTTACTTACAAATTCTTCGCTTGTGGTTTTGCTATAAGTATCTGGAAAGGCTTTGCTTTCGTTGATAAATTTCGAAATCGAAAAAAAAGCCGTAAGTCTTTTTTCTGATCGTCAAAATTCATCGCAGTATCCCTTAAAACACGCAGTCTTTTGTGTCAAGTTATCATCCGGCTTCGGCGTCTACTCTTGAAATTCCACGATTTTACATCGTCCTTCTATTCTGAGGGTCTATACATGTACCACAGATAACGGAATACTATTCCCTGCTATAGTCCTTCATGACTGACCCAATGACCTCCACTAGGAGGTCTGGACTGACCATGTGAAAATACATCAGGCCCTTTCATATGCTGACCCGCAGGTCACGAGATCGAATCTCGGCTGCACTTATGATGGAAGCGAAAATGTCTGAAGCCCGTAGGCTAAGATTTAGGGGCACTTTAAAGAACCCCAAGTGGTCGAAATTTCCCTTGCCCTTCAGTACGGCGTCTCTCTGAGAATCAGATGGTAGTTTTGGGACGTTAAACCCTAACCGCTAATAATGTTATCTGGACCCTTCATATGTAAGCGTGCCGGCATCGCAAAGCTACACTAAGCAAATAGAATAGCACTCCGTATTCCGTGGTGCATCGCTATTCATAAGGTGACGTAACAACTTCACCGACTAGCCTAACGTATCGCACTTATCGCCGGACAGAAGGGCGTCGCCGAGCATGTCCTTCTGTCCATCTTTGCTACACTTCAAACGCCAAGATGCTTCACCACCAACGACCCAACTGCGCATGCTCAGAAGGGAAGATATATCGAGAGCATCCTGATAGAAGGCGCGCCATTACAGCGCTCGTTGAAACGCTTCGACGCCTCATCTATTCGCGCACGCTTTGATCAGTCGCACAGCTGTCTTCAGCAACAGAGCAGGTTGGCCTATCGAGCCTCCTTGGAATCCTCGCTACTCCTGGACGCATTTCAGAACGGCTAGTCCAGAACACCGCAACGGTAAGCCTGCCTTGGCCACTATTTTCGACTGCATTTCTCGACTTTTTAAACCCCGAGTGAAATATTCGTGTAATGGGAGTGTACTTATTGTGCCTGCCCGCCGAAACAGATCTGCCCGCCGAGGCAAGCGGAAAGGCGCAAGTGGTAGAGCCCAAATCGCACTTGTCGGGAGTGGTCAATCGGCCTTTTCAGCCGCCTTCTTTCGCAAAAAGCCGAAACCTACGACGTAACGACATCACCCTTAGTCATATACCGCATGCTATATCTCCGTAATTCAAGCGTGAACAGAAGATTGTGTCTAATACGAGGAAGCAGCTGCGTCCACAGTTACGTGTTCGACTGCTCTAGACAAATGCTCCTTAGTCGCAACGGAGGCAAGTTAACTGACCGGTGGCCAGGGCGGCAAGATTGAGACAAGTCACGCTGTTGTTTCTAAACCCGCTGATATCGAATTTCAAGCGCATTACCTTTTCCGGAGCAGGGAAGGCCGACAAGACCATCTTGGTGTTGGGCCCCCCAAAAGCGCACACCTTGAAGAAACGTTTAAGTTCTCATAAGCTGACTTGGCTATAGGCACGCTATTTTTTTTTTTTTGCTGGAATAGCATGAAACCGTATTATTATAGCGTAGGTGCCCTGACAAAGCTGTTTACACGAGTGCTTCTGCCAGGTACTCGTACTTTGGAAAATAGAATGTGCTTGGCGCTCGCCAACCGCGTGTTTGGGAAGAAGAACGCCGCCAGGCACACCATGGCTGACGTTTGCTTCGTAGCCCATGCACTGTACAGTGCGGTCCACTCTTAGAGGGAACACTTGAACTCGTGGCCGGCGTGGCGCTAACTGGCGGCGAGACTTGTAAATGCGGCGCATGCGCATAGAATCGTAACGGCAGCGCGCGCTCAATTTCGTCTCCGCTTGCGCGCGTGAAAGCATTGGAAGCCATTTCCCTATTTTCGTGGTGTATATTATCCAGCTGTCATTCTGCCTGTGGCTCGTCAAATTTCCAGCGAGCACAAAAAAATGAACGGTTTCTTTTATTGGTACAGTTTTCGCAAGCTATCAGCATTGACCCCATCGCATTTTTCACAAACGGCTCGCTGGAACTGGCTGCTTTCGATAGGTAATTGAAGTCCGATTCATTCATTCATAAAAGCCGGTCATTTATCCATAAAATACCGGCTTATTAAAGGACAGGAACGTCGTGTTCGTATGAGGCCATAATCCCGCCGCGGTGGTCTAGTGGCTAAGGTACTCGGCTGCTGACCCGCAGGGCGCGGGTTCAAATCCCGGCTGCGGCGGCTGCATTTCCGATGGAGGCGGAAATGTTGTAGGCCCGTGTGCTCAGATTTGGGTGCACGTTAAAGAACCCCAGGTGGTCTAAATTTCCGGAGCCCTCCACTACGGCGTCTCTCATAATCATATAGTGGTTTTGGGACGTTAAACCCCACATATCAATCAATCAATCGTATCAGGCCATTTACAGTGTGAAAGCGAAAGGGTCAAGGCTCGTTAGCGCACAGCGCCGTGTGCATGGGCAGAGAAGTAGCAGACGACGCGCGACCCGCACCACCATGATAAACTCATGCGCAGCATTCAGAAATCTCGCCAGCAGATAGTGTAACAGTGAACCGCGCTGTACGTTACCGTGAGTGTGACGTTTCCATGAGCGTGAACTATGAGCGTGCATAATTTCATATGACTAGAAACATCTAGCTTATACTGTGGTGAGCAACACGAGCTCGAACACGATAGTGTGTCTCGAATACCCTACAATCCTAGATCGGCCAATTTGCAGCGGCCGCTGCGAATCTAAAAGCGCCACGTTGCCGCACGTTGCTGCAAAATGGCAGCTTATAGCGTGTCGGCGATGATATGAATTCTCATCAACGCGCACACCGATACCTAGTAATTCATCAGGCTATGTATCAGCTGAGATATCGGCTGTGACGTGGCCTGTCGTGATTCACAGGCCATGTTTGTGGCGCTGACTGAGGAATTTGAAGCGGCTGTTTTGTTTATTTTATTTTTCGATGTAACCGCGGCACGAGCTTCGTCATGAGCATTGCGGAGCTGCCTTGGATTACAATCTTAATCGAGTCGAAATTGCACCACGACTGCAGATGGCGCGATTGAGCACAAAGAACGTGTTGCTTCGGTTCCTCTTCGGCTTTGTCGGGCCGACCACGTACCTGATATTCGCGATGGGCTACCAGCTTTGCTACGACTTCGACAACGTCATCAGCAGAAAGGGTGGCGTAAGTGTTTTGCGCATTTCTTTTATTGTGTTTGTTTTTTACTCGAGATCATTTAGACGTGCAATGTCAAGTTTGCAAGAACTGAAGTCAAATGAACTCTGCCTGGATAAGATCCGTCTTTTCATGACGCGAACAAGGACAGAAACAATATCAAGGATGATAGAAAAACAACGCAAAATTAGTTCGAGTACAGACCATATACGCAGTAAACTTGTTTTCACCCTGGAGGCGGTTTTTAACGCGTCGAAACACCCATTTCATAGAATGTTTCCAATAGCCTAAACATCCTTATCACCTAGAAAACGCGAAAAAATAGAATCTACCAGTTCGGGAACGTCCATTTACAGATGACATCAGCATAGAAGATGCACGCACCCGCCAAACAGAGCACACAATTAACCAAGATTATTGTGAAATATCTCTATGGACGGAGCAGTCTCGCTGCAATGTTTAAGGTGGCAGTCTGCTACATGTAATCCATAGTATTTTTAGCAGCTGTTCAGAGCCGTTGGGAATAATTCTGCTCCGTATATAAATCATCCCCAAACATGAAAAAAAAACATGGGTAAGTTTATGGTATAAATTGTTGCGGATATCCTTGAAAGAGACTAATCTCTCACACTAAACTCGCCCAAAATCCAACGGGTTTTTAATGAGCGAGTTCCGCTTATCACTTCGTCCGCTATTGTCTGTCTGAGCTGTAGTCGTTTTAATAACCTAAACACCCTAACTTTCTGAAGGGTATTTTAACTAGAACATCGCACCTTAACGATTGTTTGTGAAAAAAAAACACCTTTACTCCCTTAGTTCACATTTTGGTCAGCAAAAAAGGGTGTTTTGCTTGCTTGAAACCCCCATAAGGGTGCAAAATGGTTTATACGGTGTCGCCAACAGGCTTCTTAAATTATGTCAAGCGTGATACTTTGATACCTCAAAATAAATAATTCATAAAGAAGAAATACGAAGAAAAAATAGTTCTATAGACTTCCGAGCGTATTTGCAGCAAGACAATGTATACATAGACGATGACTATGAGAGTTCTGCATGCCTCTTTTAAAAAAGGACCAGGACCCTTCATGGTATAACGATCAGTGAGGCATTGACTGCACACTATGTCCGTTTACAGGGGATAAAACACGAGATAATGCGGATGTATAAGCAGATTGCCGAATCTAAATCTCCTCCCCATGTCATTCTATTGTACTATTTAAAATGGCTGCAACATGCTTTCTTCACATGCCTTTAACCGGGTTGTAAAAATGGAGCTCCTGCTTTCGCTCTTGCTTTCAGCTGTTTCTTTCATCATGCAGGCTGTTTGACTGGGTCTTAGGTTTATCAGTGCTAGTCACTTCGGGGCGGCCACTTTGTAAAAGGCCCAACACTCATTTCGCTAAAGCAAGCTGGAAGGAAGTTGTTGGCTAAAATATTTAACGCAACACTGACGCTTTGCCCTCGGTTAATGGACAAAAGTAGTAAATGTTGGTTTCTGGAACTTTTGTCGGTGGGACGGCAATGCTTCGAAATTTAGCGCATGCATGCACCTAGCATTATTGACGGGGCTGCCGTGCCGTGATACCAGTAAGTTTCTAGACCAGCAGACGATTGGCTGGGAGAGTGAAAGGTGAAAGGGGTACAGCCCGGAAGCATCTCCCATCCAACAAATCAGTTTTCAAGCAAATGCTATAAGTGCCTCGTATGCGGGACCCTTAAGAGAGTAACAGCAGGCGAATGAAGTTAGAACTCACGTGATCTATCTATACGTTATGTTGTCACGTCGCCCCGTGTCAGTATCATGACGTCAAAGTTATTTGTGAAGCTATCAGTTGACATTGCTGCTTTGCCAAACGCGGGCTAATCTGGGAGGTTGTGCAACACATGGGGGTCTTAAATTGTGCATTGTGTTATTACGATACTCTCTGGGAGGAGCTTAAGGGCGCACTTCACCCCCCCCCCCCCCCCCCATGATAGCTGCGGGGGTCCGACAGCATTGACGATTAATGCCTTTCAGAGAAACGAAGCCGTTGTGCTTGCCGCTGTGTGCAGTAATTTGAATGCTGCCGTGGAAAAAAGAGCTCGGCAATTATCTGCACGTTCGGGCTCTCACATGAACTTAGACCATAATGACGAGATCAGTTCTGCTGAAGCGTTCCTTTTTTTTCTATTTGTTAAAAGAAAAACTGGCGAGTGAGCATTGCAAAACATTAAATCGTGGTATATTCTACGCATCGCTCATGAGTTGCAAAAAGTAAGAACAAGAAAATCTGAACAATTGCATCAACTTCGACAATAACGACGAGATTACTTCTGCTGAAGCGTTTTCTTTTAGGAACCTAATAAAAACTAGCCAGTGAACATCGCAAACGTATGAAATCGCGGGATACTGCGCATTGTCTCGTTTAGTCACCGGAAGAACCAATTTAATATACTATTTTAGTCTTGGCGTAGGAGCAGAAACGATGTCACGTGAAACGGCCTTACGGTAAATCACGCGCGTTTGTGCAGGCGACCAACGTGTTCACAAGCATAAGTCGAGCGACAGCGACACGGCCGTGGTACTTTGGCTGGGTCATCGCCATGTTCACCCACTCGGTGTTCCACTGCTCCATCAAGGATGACTTCAGAGAATTCTGGTTGGCACGCCAGGAACTGGTGCCTCCCGAAGAGCGCGACCGGTACCTCACTCTCGTACACCACGCGCGTAACGACTTCTGGATGAGGGCGTTTTCCCTCCTCATCATAGCCATCTTCCCGGTTTCCCTTTCGATTTCCTTTCATTTTGTGTGCGTAGGCTTCTATTTTGTCAGTGACTTCGGCTATCTCCGCGCTGTGGACTTCTTGGAAGCGAAGCTCGCACGCCGCAGGGACTCGACGGTACGCTCTTTCCCTCTAGTTGCTCTCTTGCTCTTCACGATGTTTTTCTTCTGCGACGCAGGCAGTCTACTTGCGCTCTCATCACGGCCCTGCTAAACGGACAATGCACGCACTCTTCTTTGGCATCGCACTGAGCTTGGCACTCCACGTCTTCGCAGAGGTATCCTACGGTGAGAGCTCCCCTTTTTTAAAGGGGGGAAACCTTCGATGCCAAAATTTTGATCTGTCTGTTTGTATGTCTGTCTGTACATTTGTCTGTTTGTCCACGATAACGATGCCCCAAACGGCCAAACTCATCCGCAGCGCCCACCAATATTCATCAAATTTCAGCGTTCGTACTTGTGCTATTGTCAATTAAAAAGCAATTATTGCGCATATCTGAGGCACCATAACTACACGTCGATGTTTTGTACGTGTCTTTATACTAGAGAAGGCACATACAAGTAATCTTAAAGACCGTAGCGTTTATCACGCTGCGCTGACAGTGCAACGTGATGCTCAAAAAGGCAAGTGTTCCCAACGCTTTGCTAAGACGAAACGGTGGTGTCACCTGCCCGTCGCTTTGCATTCTACGCCTTATCGCCTCCGAGAAAGACGCGCATCTTTCTAAGAGGGTGCGCACGCTTTACTTCGTTTTCGAAGATAAGTGCCAGATGGCGCTCGTGTCTAACGTGCCTCGATGCGTTCGTACGCCTCGGCTGCACGGATGGAGACTCTCTAACGCAGCGCTTTCAGAATACAATTCACCGATTTTCTCGTGCAGAACATCAAATAAACGTTTCGTTCACTCTCTCCACACGCAAGACTATTTATTGTCTTTCGACGACCTTTGCAGTTAAACATGCAGATAAGGGGACAATTCTTTTTTTTTCTTCGCGTTGTTAACTGAATGCAATCTGTATAGAGGGAAACGCCCAGTCGTTAATTGCTTGTTTTGAATACCTTCAATGCTATTAAAAAGCGGGCTTCTCCTCTGAGCGCTCTGTTTCACATCTGCATGTAGTACATAAGCATCTGGCCCCGACCTTCGGTGACACGTTGCAGTGGTGGTGGTGTCGGAAGTGGAGTTTACGCAGTCTAATGCACATCTAGACCTGTATTGCATGATGGCAACGTAAGAACGACTTGGTTTAATTTAATATGTTCTTGATCGCAATCTGCATCTTGATGCCAAAGAATGGAGTTTGCAATGACATGCACGACTTTGACAAAAATGTGAACTTGCAGTTCCGTGACACATAAACGAACAAGCTCGGGCCATGCGCATATAAGCGGCGAAACAGTCGTTTACCTACGAAATCTCTGGTTTCAACCCGGACAAGCAAGAATCTTCATGTCCAGCCGGCCATGCATGCTCTTGAGTACAACTAGAGTGTACTAGAATAGCTATTCCAGTACACTCTAGTACAACGAATAGGACGTCGCATCCGCCGCATGGCGTCGCCTCTCGGAGCGGAACAGGCAGTTCTCGCGCGAGATGGAACGGTCTGCGTGGCAGAGCCAATATGCAGAAATAAATGGGAGACAGACAGGCTGTTGCGCACACGCAAAAATGCTAAGTAGGAGGTGTTGAAAGCGATCCTTTCTTTTTTAGTAAGCCGAGTGAAACGTTGGGTATGTAAATGTTCATTATCAAACTGTGCAGTGAGACGTTGCACGAAGGAAAAAAATTTACGCAAACTTCACTTGCTTGATCACCACACAGCGCAGTTAGAATAAAGTGAGCTTCTGTTTGATATGCCCACAAAACAAAACATGATCAGGTGGGTAATCATATATAAACGCCAATATTCATTTACCTACATAACTATAACTAGGGAAAGTGAAGGCTATCGGGATTATATATATCTAGCCCTTGTTGAAAACGACACTTATAAGGCTGCATTACGCTTCTCATACTTTGCAGAGTTAGCTCTGCGTCACCAATTTGACTTGGTACACGTGACTGCGATGTACCCGGTTGTGCAAAACAAATGTGGCCAGGTATAACGTGCTTCACTGAATTTCGAAAAGGTGATATAAAAGCACTCAGTTCGACAACGTGTGCAAGCCATCTGACAGGAAGGACTATGTGCGTTAGAAGGAGGAGGAGGTCAAAACATTTCCGTGGTTGCTGCATGCCCTCGGGATGTTGTCCCAAGCATTACTGGAGACGCCAGCAGGCGTCGCGTCTCTCCGTGTGTGCGCATGTGCACTTTAGTGTTCACAGATGAACGCAATGTCGATTCGACCTGAAAACGGCGTTTAGAGCACGGCCCTAACATTCGATAAACCACCATGCTTGCGCATCGCTTACTCGATTCCCGAAGGTTATTCGGCGCGATTTGTTCTACCGGAGCCTTCTTCCTGTTGCTCAAGATTTTCCTGTTCATTTGTTTCTGCGCAGCTCATTCGGCATTCGGTTTCTTCGAGCTTCTTTATGGAGGCGTTCACGGATGGCACGAGCTTGTTACTTGCATGGTAATAATCGTAAGTATTCACTTTCTTTTGGAAGGGTCGTGCCACGTATACTTTGTGACGCTCTTTGCTTTGTGACGCTCTTTGCGTTTCTTCCAGCTTCAGGAAGCGTTGTACACACACTAAGATTCGTGTATCTTTGCTCAATAATTTGATATCGACTTATGTGAACAACTTCAGGTGCTTCCTATTCTAAATAGACGTAGCCTTTGGAGTTACAGATCTCGAAGCGCTGTTCTCTTCCGAAGTTGCTTTACATTACATTCATTTTCTGCATTTTCTTCTCTCCTTGTCGAATTCAGTAAGCACGAGTTGCCACTCGTCCTCCGAGATACTCGGCAATGCATTTTCATCGGCGAAGCGCAGGTTACTATAAGGTACCCTTTATTAACTCTACAAACCTCCTGTAATAAAGCGGTAAATAGCATTCGGGAGATCATATCCCTTGTCTTACACCCTTCTTGTTCAATATTATGTCGCTTTCTTTATCACTATGGTGGCAATGGATCCTGTGTGGGTTTCACAAGGTGTTTTATGCATCGTCGACACCCTGATTCCGCAGGGTGTCCACGATGACTGCTGATATTTCTCCTGAATCAAATTCCTTCTCGTAATCGATGAAGGCTATGTATAGTGGTTGGGTGTACTCTGCGCATACTTCTATTACCTGATTCATAGTATGAATGCGGTCGATTGTTGAGTAGTCAGTTCAAAATCCTGCTTGTTCCTTTGGTTGATTGAATTCTCATGTCTTGATTCTGTAGGCAATCACCTTTGTAGATAGCTTGTATACGACGGAGAGAAACTTGATCGGCCTGTATTTAAAGTCCTTGTCATCTCATTTGTTATATATTAATACGCAAGAAATAATACCAAATAAGTGTGGACCTTTAAATTTGGAGCCCCAAATATTTTTGCCGACCCATTGAAATAGTCGAGACCTGCGTATGCAAGAGACCCATACAGCGTTCGTTTTTAAGGCTGGGGAGGCTATTTCTTGAGTTCAGCGGGAGCACCAGTCTGTTTGCGCTCACTGATTTCGTCAGAGCAAAAGAAAAAAAAAACACGGTGAGGAAATCGCTTTTAGGAGTTATGCAACGCCTACAAGAACTTCACAAGTACCGTTTTCTTTGAATGCACTTACATGGCTTGTTTCACGTGACAGGCTGGTCGACGCGATATATCCTGTGTGCCAGAAACGCCTCTGCAAGAACCCCCTCTGGAAGAAACACCTCTGCAAGAACACCCTCTGGAAGAAACACCTCTGCAAGAACCCCTTGTGGAAGAAACACCTCTGCAAGAACCCCCTGTGGAAGAACCCCCTGTGGAAGAACCCCCTGTGCAAGAACCCCCTGTGCACGAAGCGGAAGGCGGTGCCGGCCCGATAGAATCGCCCCAAGGTGTCTTGAGAAGCCGTCGTATTCTAGGGCTTCCACCCGAGTTTGCACCACTGGTAAGCCCAAAAAGAACCATGATTACAACCGTAACTGGTAAGGGCCGTGAGGCACGCATTGCTTCTATGCACTCCGTGGCAAGAGGAAGTTAACCTACAGGATGTGTGCACGGTTCAGACCTTTTTAGGGACTGAAAGGACTGTCGCAATCAATTATCTTGATTTACACTTCGTTTGACGTTAACACCTTACCTTATTAAACCTTAGTCGGCACTGTTGCACCCTGGGGAGTTCCTTATTCCCAGTTGAGATGACCTCTTGACGCCCCAGGATGATCCTCTGCAGTTATTTCCTGCAAAATCTTTTGCCCTTTCTTCTGTCAGGAACTAGTGCTAGAAACAAACTTCAATGATCCGTGTCCACAAAGCGTTCGACTGCTTCTGCAGACTATTGATAACGGAAAAAACACACAAATATCTTTTATTTATTGACGCTTAAAGTTTGCGCTTCAGATACACTGATAAAATGAAATATCGTGTGCAGCTTACAATTCATATTTGTTATATAACTTGTCCTTGCAAGTGAATTCAATGGGTTGAAAAGAAAATATGAATCACCTTGGAGGCGTCTCAGGCTAATTGGTGTAATAATACGGAAAGACGGGCTAGTTGGTACTGCTGCATAATTGAAGTTTTTGCGCACACACACAAGGACACAGAAGAAGGGAACACAAGGACCAGCGCAGACTAACAACTGATTTTTATTCAGTAAGAAAACAGAATATATACGCTTACTTGCACCCCATGATCACCGCGCATGAGCAAAAACGGCATCGTACAATCTTAAAAAACCAAATATCACATGTTGTTCAGCAATTCAATTTCTTTTTCACTAAGCGATATCGACGGATGGCTGACGCACATATCTTTAAGTCTAGAGATGTGCCACGCTTCTACTATTTCTCTTGTTGTCTGATTTGGGTGTACATACACCACCTCAGTTTGATCAAACAACGGCTTACATGCACTAAAAGAACAACGCGCACAGTGCAGTGCTAAATGTGTTTCCGGCCTCCCTTTCAAGTTGGTCATGTGCTCCTTCAATCTCACATTTAAGCATCGGCCAGTCTGACCGACATAAAAGTTCCCACAACTGAAGGGGGTCTTATAAACTACCTTTCTTTTGCACTCAACCACCTGATGACCTGCACGCTTGGAACAATTGCCTCCGATATCCCTCGTCCTTTCCTCGTACAGATTATTTACAGCCGGACACACGCCCCCTAGTTTGTCCTTTGCCGAGAATACAACTTTGACACCATATTTAGCTGCCACCTTCTTAAGTTTATGGGAGAAACCATGCTCGTAGGGGATTACCGAAATTTTCTTTGTATCTTGGCTTCTTTCCTCTTTCTCCCCGTGGAGAAAGAGGAAAGAAGCCAAGATACAAAGAAAATTTCGGTAATCCCCTACGAGCATGGTTTCTCCCATAAACTTAAGAAGGTGGCAGCTAAATATGGTGTCAAAGTTGTATTCTCGGCAAAGGACAAACTAGGGGGCGTGTGTCCGGCTGTAAATAATCTGTACGAGGAAAGGACGAGGGATATCGGAGGCAATTGTTCCAAGCGTGCAGGTCATCAGGTGGTTGAGTGCAAAAGAAAGGTAGTTTATAAGACCCCCTTCAGTTGTGGGAACTTTTATGTCGGTCAGACTGGCCGATGCTTAAATGTGAGATTGAAGGAGCACATGACCAACTTGAAAGGGAGGCCGGAAACACATTTAGCACTGCACTGTGCGCGTTGTTCTTTTAGTGCATGTAAGCCGTTGTTTGATCAAACTGAGGTGGTGTATGTACACCCAAATCAGACAACAAGAGAAATAGTAGAAGCGTGGCACATCTCTAGACTTAAAGATATGTGCGTCAGCCATCCGTCGATATCGCTTAGTGAAAAAGAAATTGAATTGCTGAACAACATGTGATATTTGGTTTTTTAAGATTGTACGATGCCGTTTTTGCTCATGCGCGGTGATCATGGGGTGCAAGTAAGCGTATATATTCTGTTTTCTTACTGAATAAAAATCAGTTGTTAGTCTGCGCTGGTCCTTGTGTTCCCTTCTTCTGTGTCCTTGTGTGTGTGCGCAAAAACTTCAATTATATAATTGGTGTAATAGACCCTATAAGCTCTTCGCACACTGGACCTCCAACAAGGAAGCATTTACCACCGATATTGTTTTCCTGCGTAGATTATGCAATGCGGCTTCATTTCGGCAGCCACGAAGATTTAGAAACTCTAACTACATTTGCGTTTATTCGTATCTATAGTGTTTGATTCACTACGCAGCTACTTCCAATAGCATACTTTCTTCGCTCTTTTTCCCACCCAGAAGTAGACCCTCCTAGGTGTCTCAGCCAAGGCCCGATGAACTCGTCTAGAGTGAAGGGCGGTCTGCTACCGTCGCCAAGATCATTCAGGATTTTTGTTGCCTTCAATTTGACCAACTGGCTCGTAAGTTTGCTACATAGTTCTTTTTCGTAGTTTTCTGCACTTACTGCTCTTAAGTGCTGTGGGCATGTTTTTGCTGACAGCTTGCCATGGTGGCCTTTAAAGTGCTTGACTCGTTGCCCGAAGGTCATGTGCGCGAATCCTGGCCGCATTTCCACGCCGGCTAAAGGCGATTATATCTAGGTGAACTTCAAAGATCACTGGGTGGTGAAGTTTCTGGTGCCCTCAAGCACGGCGTTTGTCACAATTGTGTCGTGTTTTTTTTTTAATGTAATACCTGAACAGTTGTATTTTTGGAGCGATTTTTTTCTTTCCATGTGAAGGTTTGAGATGCTAGTCACTAAAAGAAGATACTCCAGAACACCTTGAATAATTTGAACTGGTGTCTTTTCTAAAATTGTATTGTATTAGGATTTCTTATGGTTCAACAGAAACACGTTAGTTTTGGTTTTTATTCCAGAACTTTATTGAGATGTGGTGGCACCAAATGCCACAACGTGGGGAGCCGAACATTGCGACGTTCTGGTCATCTCTCCCATGGCTACGTATACGCGCTTAGATTAGTGTAGCTGCATACCACGCACCCCCCTGTGATGGTCGGATGGTTATCCTGCTCGACTGTTTATCCGATGGTCTCGAGATTAAACGCCTGCCGCACTGGCCGCATTTTGCAGCGAAAGTTGTAATCTGATCAGTGGGTGGCTTTCCGTGCGCCGCCTCATCCGCCGCTGTCGCCAGTGTCCGTAACAAATACCGCAGAAAATCGGAAAAGAAATCCACAAGCTTCCATAACTCCTTTTTACTGCTACAATCAACCAAGCACCAGTAGCTTTAACAGAAGGTTGCATTTCATGCCGTCAACCTGGCGTTTCAAAATGAAGCGATAACGTCAACCTGGGCGACAGATATATGTGGTGGCTGTTATCCTTTGCTTCTACACCCACCTCTTGCACATCGGTAGCAGCCATTCTGTACTCTTGGCCATGGCCCTGATGACGTCAATGGGATTTGCGGTTCTTATATATCACAGCGAAAGCTATTACGATATCGCAACAAGAATCTATTTCGGCGCCATAGTTAACGACGCCGCCAGTGCTGCAGTGTACGTATAGCAGAAAAAATGTGGGCATTGTAATCATGGACACGTTCCATAATTCACAAGTGACTTTCTCTGCACTGCATATTTGCCCAAGTAATGGTGGCACCCTGTAGAGCTTCAAGCGGAGACGCGGTTCTGGGGCTTGTCTGTTATGAATGCTTATATCAAGAGAGCCCACTCTACATTTTTCGCGTCATGCGTAAGCAAAATGAGCTTAAACATGCCATTTGACGTAAGTGCACGACCACGTGCCATCAGTTTAGTTGTTCATACTGCAAAACATAAAAGCTAAATTTACATTTCTGAAAAGGGGGTGTTATATGGAGGCATTTTTAATTAACTTCTCGCCGGTCTCCGCCTTTTTTTTTTATTTGAGCGCTTGCTTGTTTAAAGCGCACTCTTCCACTTCGTTTCCAGGATTCATCGACTTTTCACCACGGCCTCATCCTGCTCTCAAAACGCACCCTGCTCTCAAAAGGCCTGCTATGCAAGCACACCTCCAAAAGCTCTGGCGACTGCTCATAGACGCATAACTAACTCCATAGTTTTAAGCTTGAAGCGGTCTTAACCTTTTTTCAGCCAGAATTTTTGGGAAACCTTTGCCGCTAAGAGACGTACGCGAAACGTCTTCAAAGGATTTTATTTTAGGACAAGAAAGTTTCTTTCGCATTACTCTGTCACCGTGGGTATGCCTGATGAAATTTAATTTAGAACAAGATTAAGTGCTAGGACGTTGAACTCGACTACCCTTGTAATAAAGAGCAAGAACGTACCCTTGCTTCAAAAAAAACCCGCAGCTGTCAAGATCAACTGGGCGCAGTGCAAATCGGCGCTCGCATATGTTTACCCGCGTTTCGAAAAGGGTTCGTTTATAGCACTGTACTCCGGCGCGTGTTTTGCGTGGGTGAAACGAATATTCTGTACGTGGATAACAGTTCTGCGCGTTGTACTCGCTTCTTTTAACTCGTCTGAAGTTCCAACGACACTCCTTAGCTTGTTCGTTTAAATTGTGACACTCCACAACACTCGAAGTCGGATGCTTTCATCTCGACACACAATCTTCGACTAACCTTGTTCACTAAAGTTGACAAGTAGCCCAAAAACCACGGTTACACCTGATGATACCCTGCAAAGACTGTCTTATTCAGCACAATTCTTATGGTGACTTGTTTTTTATGTGAATAAAAATGACATGGGGCCCTCGTTGGTCGAAGGCATCTCGCTGTCGTTTTTTTCTTTCATAAAGTGCGTGAGTTGTCGTATTATGTCGTCACTGTAACGCAGGCAAAACAATGTATAACTCAAAAACGCTAAGCAAGTCAGAAATAGGAGAGGGGAGAAAAATGGGAAAGCACGAAACAATAAAAGTGGTTTCAATGAAAGAGAAAACTCAAGAGGAACAAA